CCCCAAAACCCCAAAACCCCAAAACCCCAAAACCCCAAAATATTAGATTAAATTTGAAATTTAAATATGATTCCAATAATCGCTCAGCCTCAGAAGTACCATTGGGGCTTAAAAGGTCTCTCTTCACTCGTGGGGCAATATGTCAGTACAAAGCAGGAGGATGGCAAGGAAGATATTGAAAGCACGCATTATGCCGAGCTTTGGATGGGAACCCATCCTAAATCTCCCTCCATGGTGAGAATCACTGAAGATCTTAAACCTCACCTTACTGAAGAGTTTTACCAAGAGAAACAGGGCAGCTTAGTTGAACTAGATGAAGTCATTAAGGGAAACTCTAATTTCATCAACTCAAGAGTTGAGGAAATGGACACGATTAAAGGGAGTGGGTCTCTTCCTTTCTTGTTTAAGATCTTATCAGTGGATACTTCTTTGTCGATCCAAGCCCATCCTCATAAGGAGCTAGCTCAAGAGCTACATGAGAAGTATCCAGATATTTATAAAGATGCTAACCATAAGCCTGAAATGATTATCGCATTGACTGAGTATGAAGCTCTTTGTAGCTTCTCATCTGGAGAAGATATTTGGGAAAGGATTTGCTCAAATCCTGCACTTGTAGAGTTCTATAAAGATCTTTCTGTTGAAGACCTGAAAGACTCTGAGAAGGTCAAGTCAGTGCTGAGTGCTATTATTAAGATCACTTTTGAATCCTCTGCAGAGGTGGTTACTGAGGTAGTAGCCAAGTTATTGACAGATATTGGAGAAATTCAAGAACAAGAAAGAACCCCACATCAAAAATTAGCATTGAAGCTTAACACTCAGTATGAGAATGATGTAGGGATCATTGTTTGATTCTTGCTTAACTACATTGTTTTGCAACCTGGAGAAGCCCTTGTGCTGAAACCGAATGAGCCTCATGCTTATCTACATGGGGAAGGTCTCGAGTGAATGGCAACCAGCGATAATGTTGTTAGAGGAGGACTTACTCCTAAGTTAAAGCATGCAGAGGTATTGGTTGATATGCTTACTTATGAAACAGGTCCTATCATACCAATGAGTGGAGACAAGGACACTCCTAGCCAAGTAATCTACAACTCAGGTTTTGATGAATTCAGTGTCATTAAAGTATCTAACAAAGCTGGAGATGAGCCAACTCTTTTTAAAGTCCAAGACCCTGGGATTTTGATATGAATAAAAGGATCCGGATGTATAAAATCAGATTCTGGGGAGGAGTATCCAGTTAAAAAATTCGACACGCTCTATTGTCTCCCTGGCAAGGAGCTAGCTATTCAGTCTGAAGAAGGAGAATGTGATGTCTACATAGCAACATTGGGAAATTAAAATTTAAAAACGCACCTTTTCAGGAGTTTTATTTGATCAACGAATACTATTTATAATGGGGTTTTGGGGTTTTGGGGTTTTGGGGTTTTGGGG